GATGGGGCCCAGAGTCAGAACTAAACCAGGTTCTGGTCTCCTGATGGAACTAAACCAGGTTCTGGTCTCCTGATGGGGCCCAGAGTCAGAACTAAACCAGGTTCTGGTCCTGGTCTCCTGATGGGGCTCTGCAGCTCCCCGGGAGACCCAGCTGGAGCCTCATCAGACTCTGACTCCTGTCCATCAGGAGGCGAGTGTCCTTCTGCCTGCTGTTATGAAGCTAAAGCTTGTGTTTCTGCCCCCTGGTGGCCATAACGGGCCCAGAACTGAGCCCTGAGGAACACCACATGCTGGAAACAACTAAAGGATTCACAGAAAAGGACTAGACCCAGCCACCGGCTGCTCTGGTGGAGCCTCCAAAGGCAGGAAGGACTCCACCTGGATTAGAAGCTTCAGGAGTAAACTCCAGTGAGCTCAGACTTTAGCTCCTCTGATCTATATGATCCCACCCTGTCACGTCTGGGGGAGTTTCTGGTGTCTCGTCATGTCTTGATTACCTATTGTGTACAGCTGGGGTTCCCCTCCCTCATGTGTTAAATAGTCCTCGTTTCCCATGTCCTGTGCCAGTGCGTTTTTGTCCTTTGTCACTTTTCATCACCCTTCGCCACGTAAGGTTGGATTTTTGCCACAGCCATGCCATAGTCTTGTTTTCCTTATTGCCATAGCCATGTTTTTATCACAGCCTTGCCACAGTTTTGTTAATGTTGATTTGATACTTTGCCATAGCCTTGTTTACTTTATTTGATACTTTGTGTTCAAAGTAATATTTAATCTTGCTTTGTTACTTTGTTCATAGTTTTGTCACAGCCTTGTTTTGAACTTTGAGTGTGTTTTTTGTTACAATAAACCCTGGTTTCTGAATTTCCGTGACTGAGTCCTCCCTTAAGATCCACTTCTGTGACACACCCTTTGCCTCCAGAGGCTCTGGATCCCTGCTCACCTCGTCCAGGTGCACCAGGAAGGTGACGTTGCTGCCCAGGGTGGCGGTCAGCTTCCCGTCCTTGGTGGTGAGGGCGAGCCCTCGGGGGGGCCTGTTGGGGCACTGCTGCTTCCTGGCCGTGTACAGCTCCTTCACCCCCTTGGTGCAGTTGTTCAGCACCACCTTGCGGTACCTGTGAGGGACACGGGGAGTTAGGGGGGCATCCTCCAGTTACTGGGACTCCACAGAGCTTTGAGTTAGCTCTGGTTTGGGTCCTAACAGCCCACTTCAGAGCATCAGTGAAGAAAACACTGACCCCCACCCCTATTCATATCAATAATCTGCACATTTCGGAGTGTTACATATTCTTTGGAACATCTCAGCATGCTCCAGGGCCAGTCAGAGCAATGACTGTCTACTAATTTTATATGATACCTCTCTGAATGAATTAATGATCCTGAAACTTGT